AGAAATCATCATTCTCATTGGAAGAGCTTTATGACATTTTGATCTTGATCAATGACAAATGTTTGGTAAAACCGGTATTATTGTTGTCAGAAGAAAATTATACCATTAACATTCAACTTAATTTTCAACTATAACAAAAGATTGCCCAAATATTGAATAATCTTTGAATAAAGATAGGACAGGGGTTTCGAAATTATAATACATTTTCAATGTTATTCTATGATTCATTCTTCAAATATGGAAAAAATGTTTTGAGTTTTAAAAGTTTATGCAAAATATTGCGATATAAAGTTTCTCATTCATTCATTAGTTTAATCCTAAATAAAGTAGTCCATATTATGCAACTTAGGAATGGTTAACATAATCATCCAATAGGTTTAACTACAATGAATGTTTATATCTCTCATTCAGGCTTAAACGCGTCTAGATTTACTATCATTATATATATTAATACAAGGTAAATGAGTTTAATTCTTTGTCCAGATATGACTGATCCAGTATTTTTAAGCCTTTCCTATTCAATTATGATTACCACAGAGGATTTGTACAAGTAAATGCAGTTTTAATAACAAACTTAGGCCGGTTGTTTCCCATTGAGTCTAATCTGTCCTTTCGCGGTCCCTTTTCTCTCTTATTTCAATATAGTACCTATGATCTTCAACTTTTCAAAGGCGTTTACTACAAATATATCAACCCAACCCCCAACTTCTACAAATAAAAAAGAAGAAAATTTGGGGATTTCGCCTTAACTTAATAAAAAGAAAATAAACCTACAGGAAACATTTTTCCATATAAGCAATGTTTGTAGGAAATTCTGTGTAAAGATAATGTATGTTTACAACGATACATCAACACTAAATTTTCATAAACCAATCACCATCGATATTGTACCAAATCATTTAAACATTTCATCAAAAACAAGAGGCCCATAAAAATGGCTTTTTATTGTAAAGTTTAAATCCAAAAGTAGTCCCATGACCAATCTTGGATTTGCTATTTTTTAGAAAATGATTGAGAAGAAGATTTTTAAAGAATTTTCCTATACATTTCTATGTAAAACTTTGGTCGGCCATTTTGGCCCCGCCCTACCCCCGGGGGTCATGACTTGAACAAACTTGAATCTACACTACCTGAGCATGCTTCCATATATATATGATGAATTATGGCTTTGTCATTCTTGAGAAGAAGATTTTTAAAGAATTTTCCTATATATTTCTATGTAAAACATTGGTCTGCCATTTTGGCCCCGCCCTACCCCCAGGGGTCATGATTTGAACAAACTTGAATCTACACTACCTGAGCATGCTTCCATATAAATATGATGAATTATGGCTTTGTCATTCTTGAGAAGAAGATTTTTAAAGAATTTTCCTATATATTTCTATGCAAAACTTTGGTCGGCCATTTTGGCCCCGCCCTACCCCCGGGGGTCATGATTTGAACAAACTTGAATCTACACTACCTGAGCATGCTTCCATAAATATATGATGAATTATGGCTTTTTCATTCTTGAGAAGAAGATATTTAAAGAATTTTCCTATATATTTCTATGTAAAACTTTGGTCGGCCATTTTGGCCCCGCCCTACCCCCAGGGGTCATGATTTGAACAAACTTGAATCTACACTACCTGAGCATGCTTCCATATAAATATGATGAATTATGGCTTTGTCATTCTTGAGAAGAAGATTTTTAAAGAATTTTCCTATATATTTCTATGTAAAACTTTGGTCGGCCATTTTGGCCCCGCCCTACCCCCGGGGGTCATGACTTGAACAAACTTGAATCTACACTACCTGAGCATGCTTCCATATATATATGATGAATTATGGCTTTGTCATTCTTGAGAAGAAGATTTTTAAAGAATTTTCCTATATATTTCTATGTAAAACTTTGGTCGGCCATTTTGGCCCCGCCCTACCCCCAGGGGTCATGATTTGAACAAACTTGAATCTACACTACCCGAGCATGCTTCCATATAAATATGATGAATTATGGCTTTGTCATTCTTGAGAAGAAGATTTTTAAAGAATTTTCCTATATATTTCTATGTAAAACTTTGGTCGGCCATTTTGGCCCCGCCCTACCCCTGGGGGTCATGACTTGAACAAACTTGAATCTACACTACCTGAGCATGCTTCCATATATATATGATGAATTATGGCTTTGTCATTCTTGAGAAGAAGATTTTTAAAGAATTTTCCTATATATTTCTATGTAAAACTTTGGTCGGCCATTTTGGCCCCGCCCTACCCCTAGGGGGTCATGATTTGAACAAACTTGAATCTACACTACCTGAGCATGTTTCCATATAAATATGATGAATTATGGCTTTGTCATTCTTGAGAAGAAGATTTTTAAAGAATTTTCCTATATATTTCTATGTAAAACTTTGGTCGGCCATTTTGGCCCCGCCCTACCCCCAGGGGTCATGATTTGAACAAACTTGAATCTACACTACCTGAGGATGCTTCCATATATATATGATCAATTATGGCTTTGTCATTCTTGAGAAGAAGATTTTTAAAGAATTTTCCTATATATTTCTATGTAAAACTTTGGTCGGCCATTTTGGCCCCGCCCTACCCCCAGGGGTCATGATTTGAACAAACTTGAATCTACACTACCTGAGCATGCTTCCATATAAATATGATGAATTATGGCTTTGTCATTCTTGAGAAGAAGATTTTTAAAGAATTTTCCTATATATTTCTATGTAAAACATTGGTCGGCCATGTTGGCCCCGCCCTTACCCGGGGGGTCATGATTTGAACAAACTTGAATCTACACTACATGAGCATGCTCCCATATAAATATGATGAATTATGGCTTTGTCATTCTTGAGAAGAAGATTTTTAAAGAATTTTCCTATATATTTCTATGTAAAACTTTGGTCGGCCATTTTGGCCCCGCCCTACCCCCGGGGGTCATGATTTGAACAAATTTGAATCTACACTACCTGAGGATGTTTCCCCATAAGTTTCATCTTTCCTGGCACAGTGGTTCTTGAGAAGAAGATTTTTAAAATATACTACTAAATTTTCATTAATTCCCAATTATCTCCCCTTGAATAAGGGTGTGGCCCTTCATTTGAACAAACTTGAATCCCCTTCACCCAAGGATACTTTGTGGCAAGTTTGGTTGAAATTGGCCCAGCGGTTCTTGAGAAGAAGTCGAAAATGTGAAAAGTTTACAGACAGACAGACGGACAAACGGACAGACAGACAGACGGACGCCGGACAAAATGTGATCAGAAAAGCTCACTTGAGCCTTCGGCTCAGGTGAGCTAAAAACTTTGTGGTTTATATACTTTTTATTTGTCAAAATATTTTTGCCAAAGTAATGTTTGTTTGCAACAGGGGAGATACCGTTGCCAAATTTATTGTTCTTTGTACTCAGGAAATATCCCGGTGATCTCCCCTTAACTTTATCTGTGTTATATACTTATTGTCATTTAATAAATGACAATTCTCACTCAGTATACATTGTTTGTTATATTTCAACTATTGCGGTAGTCTAGCCAGATCACTAGGGTTACATAAAAAACTTTAAAAAGAATTGATGTACCACAAACGGTTTATAATGTGTGTTTTTTTTTCATAGCAAATTATGCATTCAGTACACGTGAATGAACTAAATATAAAGCTTCAGGAATGTAAATTAAGATACAATACCTTCACTTTCACTTGCTTGCTTTTAATATTGCACTTGAAATTATTGCTTATTTATAACTACGCATTTTTTATTTCTTAATCAAAAGTATTTGTGGTATTTAAGCATAAAAATATACCAATATCGTGAAATAACCGATCAAGTCCGGTATTGGATTGGTAAGGTAAACGAATAATTCAGGTATTCTTCTGCCCTACCTGTCTTTCTTTCATGACAAAGTGTTGATCAGCTGATTTTAACTTTTGTTTAAAAATGACTAAAAGTTTTTCAGTTTTTCTTACAGGGGTGCTGCGCCCACATTCCGAAACATCTAAATCATTTTTTTTGTCATTGTATTCTGAAAATGATCTTTTCCTATTATGTGGAGTATGTAGAGCATAAGACTGATATTGTGCACATAAATAGACGACTGTGCCCCTTCTCAAATTCCTTTAATGCTTCAGGGCCTTTCATAAAACCCAATTTGATACACGACTAATTCTAAAACCGTGATTTTGAAACATGAATTTTGATAGTATTTCGACTATCGCAATAGGGGTACATCCGATGAGGCATTTGAGCCAGAAAGACTGTCGGTTTTAAAGTTACCAACGCTATTAAATATTCCAGAGCCATCAACATTTTTGGTTTAGAATTACAGGTCATGGTCTTTGATTTCATTTTATGGTTGATCTTTTAGCACCAGGAAGAGGATTTAATTTCATAGAAGAGGAAGAAAAAGAATGATTGAATTTTATAATATAAATTAAAACCATGTCAGGGGGTCGTGCATTAAAACACGTTATTAGATTTTCGTGCCATTTCTGAATTACACACGTCAAGGTATCTGATTATGGTACTTGAGTACTTAATTTCAATGTATGGACTAGATATTCATCATGTCCTTGTGAATGTCAGTCCGTTGAAATAGTACTTTGGTACACGCCCTTTATTAAAACATCGAGAATCATATTCTTACCCCATGTGGGTACATATATAAATGATATGTTTATACACCTGTTTAAAACAGGTTCAAAGGGTCAACGACTTAAGTGTAAAATACACGCAAATTTACATCGTTTGAGAACTTTAAATGAAACTGATTTATTACACTATTCACTGATTAAAATAAGAAACCTACATGAACAATATGCATATGTTTATGTTTAATTAGAACACGCATTTACAAGAAATAATCGGATATTAGCAACATTTTACTACAACAAACATTGGAATTTTCGATCGATATTACAAGTTCCCATTGCAAAAGATAATCTGCTTTGCTATTTTTACGCATTGCAATGGAAGAAAAACTCAAATGGGCCAGGAAATCAATTGAAAAGAATCTCACCTTAGGTCAAAGAATCCGCACAACCTTTACAGCAAAAAATCCAATTCCTCTTACAATTTACTGAAAGATTTGAAAAGTCATAAAACACGTTGGCTGCCTTGTCATAAATTAATAATTCATTGATTAAAAACTGTAGTATTGCAAAAGTCCCGCCATATCAAATCACACAACACAGTTACGTCATTTACTCTAAGAAAGGGTTACGTCCAGAGAGAGGCGCGAAGGAAACATGAAATATTCACGGAAATAATCAAATTTAGTCCAAATACTGAGCCACAGAGTGTAATATTCTCGGGGGTACACCCATGACCAAATGTACAAGTTTAAACATCGACCGATTTAAAGCCCCCGGCTCTCATTCTCTCACAGACAGTGTTTTACTGGCATAAAGTGCCATTTAAAACACCCAACAAACCAAGTTCAAATACTAAGAGATATGCGTAAGGTATGGGTATTGGTTCAGTTGATATTGAAACACAGAATGATCGCGGCTGATTTAATTTGTCATGTATTGAGATACCTCGGCTTCTCAGAGTATTTGATCCTTTGACTAAAAATCAAGATTCTTGGCACGGGAAGTCTCGGGTCTTCATGAATCATTAATGTCGGGTGGTTTCTCTCCGAGTAACGAGATAGGAGTGAATGCCTGATCACGGTACAGGGTATATATGAGTAAGACGATGAGGGCCACAGAAGATGTCAAATTTTTATTAAAATGTTATTGTTTTCTCCTTGAATACATAATGCAAAAGCACGCGGAAGCTTATAAAACTTTTATCTTACATGCGCTTGTTTTGGAATAAGTGATACATATGTGCGTGACTCATACAATATCTGTAATATATACCCAGGTAATCTGACACTATGGGAGTATAATAAAGATAATTTTAAGTGCGTTAGCACGTAAACGCCGAAAAGCAAACATTTTCCAGAATTAAATTATGCTTGTTTTATTTTACATACTTGAATAGTTTTAATCAAGGATAATCATATCATTTTACATTTAAATTGAATTTTCATAAAAATACTAGTAATCACACGGGAATTTTCTCATCTGGACCTACAAGCATACTATTCTTACAATTTTTGCAAAGACATAATTTTGTACACTTTGAACAAAATTAAAGGAGAGTAACTCTTACACTAATCCATTAAATACCGGATTTATCTTTCCTTGACAATTTTTCAGACGGCGTCTCGTGCATTTCGACAGTCTTCTTCTGATGAGTCTTAGATTAAATAGATTTTATTTTTCCACGAATGAACGTCAGTTAATATGAAAACAACAGTGTACAAACCAAGTTCATTAATTTCAAGTTTTCGTAATCTGACATCAGATGACTATGGAAGAACGTACTGGTTAACCATTTGCAGGGTAGATTCCGTCTTGTGAACGAAGTTTTCTTATGAGTAAGGAAAGACATTTAACGTTAAATTTCTTGTCATGGACGATGCTCTCTATAAAGAAAGAAAATATTGTGTCATATATGATTGCGCCTGGTTGCGTTCCAGCGAAAATACGTGCCAATTAGTGAATTACTGACATTGTTAACATTCAATGCACGCGAATTATCACCAACAATCAACTTACTAGCTATCTTCGTCACATCCGTATTAATTTGATAAAAATTTTCCGACATGTTTATTCATAGAAAAAATGACTTATTTGCACAAAACCTTTATTTTTAGACTAAATGACATATTTGTACTAGACTGTAGTATCAATTCCCCATTTTCAAAAGTGAGTTATCTCCCCTCAAAATCGGAACTCTTCTACACTAGCACAACTTCCGCGGACTACACGTTACGATAATCCAACAAAATATAGTGATCAACTTACACGCTGCATTAAAAATTTTAAAAGAAGGAAACGGTTTGCAATTTTTTTTTAGATAATAAGCGATTTTATAAAGGGTCTGTTGCCCCCCCCCCCCCTTCTAGAAAGCTATACGAATTAGCCAGGCACGTATCATCGTCTTTAAAAGTGTGTGTGTGTGTGTGGGGGGGGGGGGGGGAAGGGGGGCAGCCAAAGAAATATGTTTTTTCTTACCTGGAAAAGTTGACGAGCAAAGAAAAACCTTGCCCAACGTCGAAAAGCTACTTATTTCAGTACCAGTTCCTTGGCATACAATACTACATTTCCCTTATATAACTTTACTGTAGTATAAACTGTGTGTGTGTTGGGGGGGGGGGGGGGGATGGCAGCTTTCAATGAACATTTTCAATAGAAAAAGTAAAACATGAATAACACTTGAGAAAAGAATGTTTTCCGTTAATTAACAAGAAATACGCTAGGAAATTATTGTATCAATTTCGTGTTTCTGCTGTCAATTCTCTGATCTAAAACAGAATGTGTATTTTCCTCGGGAATATGCATGTACATATGCTTAGATCCTGCACTAAAACTTTGATTAAATGCAGCTCAGACTTTATACGACATATGTAACACGAATTCAGGTCGATGCTATTCTAATTAGTCTTTCTTCGTTACATGAGCACATGAGATTAAATTATTCATTTAGAATTCCATTCAAAGTTTTTAATACTATGCATGCAGTGAATCAATTATTTTACAAATAAAAAATTCTGGAAACACGGTTAATTCAAAGGAAATAGGCCTTTAATTGTCACCAAATGTGTTCTTGTAAGTAAAAATTCTATTTTATGACATACAATCGAGCAAAAACGCAGTTTCTTGGTATCGGTCGCGGAAGACGAACTACTGCTGTATATGCAACAATTTCAGGGGTAAAACTGTAGATGGACCTGTCATCAGTCTCCAAAAAATTCCTAGAGATGCAGAGAAGAAAATATGGCTGCAGCATGCTAGATTAATTCGTAAAAACTAGAAATTCTTACATTTGTTCTGCACATTTTGTAAATAGTGATGATCCGTCTGCAGAACATCCACTACCGAAAATTTGTTTTTTATTTTATTTTTTTTTTTTTTATTTATTTTTTTTAATAGGCCTATTCGAATATGCATCAGCATTTTATCAGTAATTTGTTTCTTTTCTGTTTTTTGTAAGAGGGGGGGGGGGGGGGGGGCTCACACAGCGCCTTATTATACTACTATACAGATTAATACAAATCCAGAAAGAGACAATGAGTGGGCAATTTAAAAAAATACGAATCAGTTAAGATTTCTTTTTATTCACAAACACAATAACATTTTTCCATATGACAGAGGCATTACACCACGAACATGTTTACATCAAGAACGTCCGCGGAAGTGACTTTATTTATGGCGCATGCGTATTAAACACAGTAAAAGAGTTCCCTTCAGGGGAAATAACTCACCTTTTAAAAATGGGGAATATGGTTCAACAAGTGTAAGAGAGATAACTCTTCTAGACAGAGACTACTTAATTTTCTAAACGTAGCATAATGGAAGTATACGACATCTAATATGGGATATGTATCTCCTATTTAATATATTCCCTCACAAAAAGCATATCTATAAATCAAGGCCGCTTTCCACATCGATCCCGATGCAAATTTTGTCAATTCCGTTTTGCACAGAATTAACTCACCCACAAACGAACACACACGACTTCATTAAGCACTACATCCCCCCTCCCAACTCCGTTACGGGCGGATTAAAATGTTCTCCTTAGCCTTGAGATCGATTTCTCCCTATCAAAACAATCATATTTTTTGTGGTCATTGCTCTAAAATATAAAACCAAATGCCTTAAATCGATGATTAATATAAAAAACTAGTACAATTGGCGCCGTGGTAAGATTAAGCTGAATGATAACCAGAGATAACATATGTACAAAAGAGACAAACGCCGAACTCGTTTATTCTGCATTTACGGTACATATAATAATCAATATTATTAATAACAAAAATCTTAAGTGTAAACACTTGGTAAATATTTTTACAAAGATATAATAAATGTCTGTAAGACATAAGCTGTTAGACAAAGTTAAGCTTTATAAAATATCCTACGGAAGTATAAACAGAAAATTAGTAAATATCAATATATGAATGTTAACACTGAACTCCTGGCTTATATTTATAAATACAAGTATTAGACTGTGGAAAATGAAATCATATTGAATACACTTGTCAAGCATGAAAGCCCTAGCACCAACTATTCAAAAGTTATGGTCAAGGTTAAAGCTTATGGTCAAGGTTAAAGCTTATAAAGCTTTGAAATTTTGCGTATCTTTTTCGATGCTTGATTTCAGAAAGTGACCCTGTAAAAATGCCAAACTGAAAGAGAAGCAGCACAAACAATGGCAGCAACCTCTGATAATTTCTAGCCTAGTACTAGGCTAGCCTTCGTGCTTGCACTCGGAAGGCCTCGGGTACTAGGCTATGGTAATTTCAAAATCATACAAAATAAGAAAAAGACATGCTCAACAAAATTTACAAGATCCTTCATCTACTTCCCATAAACATAACAAAAGAGAAAAACATACATTTTTATCTCAATAGGAGAAAAAACTTCAAGAACGATGAAGAAAATTTGGTGTGCCATATGAAATGCCAGCACAAAACGAAAAATATCTTAAGTTAAGAAATAGAAAGCAAAGTTGAAACTGGCAAATTCAAAATAAAATTAATGCATATAAAATCAAAGAAAATGAAATCCCACGCCTCCTCCTCCTTCTGAAGACAACCAACATTTTGATAAGGCCATGGATTCAATAAGAGCATATGAACTTCAACAAATGGCCCAATTCTTCCGAATTTTGTACAATATGTCATGAAAGGAGACTAGATAGCATAAAATATGAAAATGGCTGAAAATGAAATTTGTAAGCGTTGTTATATAGAAAAGCAAAGCATAAAAATGTATTCAAAAGAAGACATAATGGACCCAGGTAAATTACATAAGGAACTGGAAGATCTTACAATTATAGAACAACAACTTATCAGTAGAATTACCCCATACATTAATGTCCACATTCTAAATCATGCTGGTATACCGCATCATCCAGTCATTTTGTCACTTTCCCCCAAGAAATAAATGAACCAGCAAAAAAATTCCTAGACTGTCTCCTGAAATACAAATAATAAAAGTTTAGAACACAAGGCAAAAATGATACATCCAAAGAATTTCGAGTCCGTCGCTTAAAAATTAAACAGTCCCTGAAATGGCTTAAGAATAGCAATCCTGCATACTCTGACATCATTATTAGTCATGAAAGGTTACAATCAGTTTCTGAAGATGGACAATTAACAGACATTGTTACATTTGAATTCAAAGAAAATAGGCCTACTGCTCACAAAAATAATAAAGGTCCATCACTTGATCACACAGACATTGAGGTTTCTCATGGATTTACACGTCATGACATTCTGGTGCTCAACTACCAGATTCAAATATACACATACAAGAAAAGGTTGAGAAAATTGTTACTGAAATAATTGGTGAAAATCATGGGGGAGTTACTATGAACAGACAGGGCACCATCATCATTCCTTGGCTTACAAGAGACAACATCCCTGTTTCTGAATTTACAACACAACAC